AATATTACATTAAGTGATTAATTAATCTAAATCTTCATGCTCGTTATCCATATCATGTTCATCATCCGATGTAATATTGTCCTCGGATTCAAACTCTTCATCATTGTCTTCATCCACATTATTATCAACCAACAATATAGACGCATCAACTTGAAGGCCCTCAACAGTTGTATCGGACAAAGTTGTAATGTCTTCAGCTGCAACCACATCATTAATCTGTTCAACGTCATCAACTTGGTAGGCAACATCTTCCACTAGATCTCCAGTTTCAATATGACCTAGCGGTTTTGTTTTTATTACAACACACCATCCTCTTTTACGTATTACAAATGAAGGATAAGGAACATAATAAACTTGCCTAACAATATGTGACATTATGAAAGGGTCATATTCTTTGTATCTCCGGTTCATTTGAATCTCGACAGAACCATATGACTTGTCTATCTTTGTGCCTCTAGTTGGATCATACCATTCACAATAAAACAAGACAACTTTATTTTCCGTGTCCAAGTAATTGTATACCAACTCGTAGATATGTTTAACAAATCCATAGAAGTCGTCTTCACCGCCATCTGTAACTCCTTTTACAAAAACACCACTATTTATGGTTTTTTTCCCTTCGGTCCATGCCTCAGTGTGAAATTTATATCCGTTCACGAAGTATGTGTGCCAATCATTTGCGCTTTGGATAGGGCCTTCTGCCAAGTTTCTCAAATGGAACAGGTCCACCAAGATAAGCCTCATATGCAAGATGCACAGGTAAATGTTCCATGGAGTCAAAGAAACCAGGCGGAAATACTTGTTCCAACTTACAAAGAATGAGTGCAATGTTTTGGTCCAACTTAATGATGTCTTCCACTTTTAAAGCTGACGCACAAATATCTCTAAAAAATTGACTAATTTCAGTTAGTGGGTCAAGAACATGTTTGGGTAGCGATCCAAATGCAATTGGTAGCAACTGTTCCATAAAAATGTGACAATCATGACTTTTCATACCATGCAATTTTCCAGTGTTAGGGTCAGCACACCTTGCTAAATTTGATGAATACCCATCGGGCATTCTCAATTCTTTTAACCATCTACAAACCGCTTTAGCTTCTTGGGAAGTCAGACTGAAACAAGCCTTGGGTTTTAATAATTTTCCATTCGGTTGAGGCTTCAACTCCAACTCTCTTCGATTACACCAAATTCCCATGTCTTGTCTGGCCTTCTCATTATCTTTTGTTTTTCCTGTCACATCCATCACTGTGTTAAATACATTATCAAAAAAATTCTTCTCAATATGCATAACATCAAGATTATGGCGCAACAAATTATCTTTCCAATACGGAAGATCCCAAAATATACTTCTTTTTGTCCAATTGTGGGTGACGCCGTATCCTTCAATTCGGCATGCTTTCCCAGTATCTGTAAATTTTGGTAGTTCACATACTTGGTTCCATATAACCCCTGGTGGCAATCGAGGCGGAGGCAAATCTTTCTCTCGTACATCTTTTTTAAAATTTGTCTTGTTTCTTCTATACGGGTGATTTGCTGGTAGGAATCTGCGGTGACAGTCAAACCATGAGCTTTTCCCACCTTTATCCAACGTAAATGCTTTGGTGTATCCCATGCAATGCGGACAACCCATTTTTCCATGCGTACCCCAACCAGACAACATGCCATATGCTGGAAAGTCATTAACGGTCCACATCAAGGCAGCTCGTAATGTGAAGTTCTGTTTACGGGATATATCATAAGTCCATTCTCCAATCCACATCTTCTTCAAATCATCAATTAAAGGTTGTAAGTACACATCAATTCCGGCTTTTGGACTGTGCGGGCCTGGAATAACACACGTCAAAAACATGTATGGTTTTGTCATGCACATCTCAGGAGGGAGGTTGTAAGGTGTTACAATAACTGGCCAACAAGAGTACGCACTTCCTGACGCTTGCACGTATGGGGCAAATCCATCAGAGCATAATCCAAGCCTGACATTTCTAGGTTCTGCAGCAAAATCTGGATGTGTCCGATCAAAGTGCTTCCATGCCTCACCATCAGATGGATGTCGCATAGTGCCAGAACTTGTTTGGTTTGTATGATGCCATGTCATTTGACTTGCACTGTGCATTGAAGCAAACATTCTTTTTAACCTTGGTATTATAGGAAGATAAAACATGGATTTTACTGCTACACGCTTTTGCTTGCTGTTAACGGCTCTACTGCGAACTTGATATCTTGGACTATTACAAAACTTACACTCCTCTAACGATCCATCTTGAATACCAAACTCATTGTCATAAAACAACATGCAACCGTTAATGCAACAGTCAATCTTTCTTACTTTTAAACCCAACTTCGACACCCACTTCTTTGCATCATAATAACTTGTAGGCAAATTGTCTTTCGTAGCGGTGGAGTCCAACATCATTTTTGCAAAATGTTCCAAACATTGATCAGAAACATTCCAATTTGACTTGGCAGCCAATAATCTCACACACATTGATAGCTTCGAGTCTGACGACCCCTCAAACAACGGCGTATTCATCTCGTTCAATAATTGATAAAATCTTTGCGCTTCCTCATTCGGCAACTCTTCCCCGTCAAAATCTTCAGGTTCATCATATGTCACGTTCACACCAAAAGCATCCTCAACCATGTCACCGATCAAATTAAAGTTCTCCTCATACTCCATAACCGGTCGACTACTTGAAGCATGCGTGTTGCTAGTCTCTGGTACATTAACCGGTAGTTCTTCACCATTATACGTCCAAACCCAATAATTTTCAATGAATCCCCTTCTATGCAGATGACGTGTTACTTCCTCTGGGTCACTAATTATTGGTCTACATTCACACTTAAGACAGGGACATCTAACCCCTCCTTCGCTTCGACAACAATCCTGAGCAAACGCCCACTTAATAAACCCATCAACTCCTACTATAAAATTGGGTTTAAGTCCACTTCTTCCTGGATATGTTCTATCGTACATCCAACTGCGATAATACCGATAATATTCCATACTGCACATTTATACAATCATTGTCTTTTTCATTAGAAATATTCTTAAACTATTTAATACTATTCTTAGAAATATAAATTTTGCTTTTTTATATATATACTAACATATAAATAAATATTCAAATGTAAAATATATAATTTTTTATTACATAACAATAATATCAAAAAACAATAATATAACATATTTACTTTTTATTATATATACAATAATATACTATAATATAAGATACATACTATTTAAATATACTATAATATACTATAATATATTTAGAAAACAAATAATGTAAGATACATACTATTTATTATTATATATATAACAATAATATTAAAATAATAATATAATATATATATTTTTTTTTTAAATATGTTTTTTATAAATTGTTATTCTAATATATAATATTTTTTCCATATCTTTAACATATAAATAAAAAAATAAAACTATTATAATAAATACAATTTACATCTATAAAAAACATGTTATTAAATATGTTATTAAATTTATGTTTTCTAAAATTTTTTAAAAAATATATTAAATATGTTATTAAAAAATATGCAAATTACATATACAAATATACTACTAAAAAATATATAAATCACATATGCAAAAAATATGCAAATTACATATACAAATTACATATGCAAAAAATATATTAAATATGTTATTAAATATGTTTTTAAAAATTTTTTTATTATCAGTAATTTTATACTACTAACAGTATATACATATATTCCTAATTACCACAAAATACATATACAAATCTAATCTATATAATACATATAAAATCTAAAAAAAAATGCATAAATACCTCTATATAATTTCTTCAATGAATTTGCGTCTTCTAGTTCTTGGTGTTCTTCAAATTTCTCTACAAATAATAACGAACAATCGAACAAATACCATGTTAATTAAATTCCAGTATAAAAACTAAAGATAAAACGAAATAAACATTTAACATCACATGCATACCTTAGATTTCTTCAACAAATTGGAATGGAAGAAAATTAATTCGCAAAATTGGGTTTGAGTTTGTGAGAGTTGCTGTAATGGAATGGAAGCAAGCAAAGGAAAGCAAAGGAAGAAGAAGAAGCACGCTACTGTAAATCAAAACGTTTACATTTGTAACTTCTAGTAGCGACGTGACTGTCACGTCGCCACGTTGCCACGTGATAATCACGTCGCTACAATGCAACCATAAATACTTTTCTCTGTCCAACACTGCGCATTTTCCCCCCAAAAATTGAGCGACGTGGCTAACACGTCGCTACAAAATTTCAAACTTCCCTCCCAACAACGTTCATCAGATTCCATTAAATGTCATTAAAATATATTAGCGACGTGGTTATCACGTCGCTACTACCCACGTGATAAGCACGTCGCTAATATATGTCGCTGGGGACATATATTTTTGTAGTGCGATGATCATCTTTAAAAAGTAATTTTTTAAATTACAAAAAGCAAAAATATTTAATTTTATAAAAAGTTTAAATATATTTTATCCAAAAATAAAAGTGTCGTAAATAAAAAAAAAACATTTAAATTTAGAAAGACATATACGAGAAGGGATTAATTATTATGTACTATTAACATAAATATTTTATTCAGTCCCGTACATTATAATCATTTATAAATATTATTTTATAAATAATTAAAATAAAAATTGAATTTCAATAAATATTTAATAGTCTAATTCTTAGACAATGTATAATTGTTTTGTAAGATAAGTGTATACTAATTAAAGTGTTAAATAGAACAAGTAGTAAAATGTAAAATAAAAATGGTGGGGCTTTCAATGCAAAGGGAGAACCAGGTGACACACACTGCCACACACACATGACACACCCATCTGTTACCCTTTTTTTCTTCCAATCAAATCCTTTATAAATACTCCTTCTCACCCTTCTTTCTCACTAATTTCACTGCCCACAGTTTCTTTTCTCTCTCTCCTTTTCCCCTTCACCAACAAAACTAAAACAAACACCAATTTCCTCTCTTCTCAATGGCTTCTTCTTCTTCAATGGAAACTCCACAACCACAGCCACATCCACATCCTCCTCTCTACTTCGATCAAAAATGGAAGCTCTCAAAGAAAGAAGGATCAACCAGAAGCCGATCTTCATCAGCATCTTTCATCAACAACACTTCAACAACACAAAGAAAGTGTGCTTTTGCCAGGAAATGTGCCAGGCTTGTCAAAGAACAAAGAGCACGTTTCTACATCATGAGGCGTTGTGTTACTATGCTTATTTGCTGGCGTGATTACAGCGATTCATAAACAACAACAACAACAACAACAAAAACATCAAATTGTTTGTTTATTAGAAACAAACAAACAAAGAGCTTCAAAAAGCTCTCTATTTTTCTTTTAGATCTTTTAGTTTTCTTTTTTATTAGCGAAATTGTATTATAAAGGTTCCTAGTACAAGAGACACTCCAACCCATTAAGACGAGACTAAATCCGAGTCGGCGTAGCCGGACTCGTCTTTTAGATCTTTCGGTGATTCTCTTATGAATCTTCTTCATACATGTACATAAAATATTAGGTAGAACTAGAAGTTTTCAATTTCAACGTTTTCTATGTAACTTTTTTCTGCCTATTTGGAAATAGAAGGAATTTTGTTAGAACTGAGGAATTGACATGGTTTAAGGTTTTTTTTGAATAGTTGAATTTTTTGTGATGGTTGATGTTGTTTGTTTGTTGGTAACTTTGGGATTGAGGAAGTGATTTTTGAGATCTAGAAATTTTTTCTGAGATTCCATTCAAAGTTCTGCAGCTGAGATGATGAGGTAAGGTAGACTCTGTTCTGTACTACTATGTGTATAGATCTAAATGGGCTTAGGATGACGCAAACATTGCTGTTTATTTAATACTTTACTATTTGTTTTTCTAGAATTGTTATTTTAATCATGATAATTAAATGATGGGGAGTTGTAAACTAATTTTGTTTTATACATTTGTTTATTCATTTCTATAATGTGTAAGAGTAATGTTTTTAGTTGTCCTTTTAAGTCACTTTAGTATGCTAGTGTAGATGAGTCAACATCTTCTCAATTTTCACTCTTCTCTATTTTGTATACTACAAAAGTTTTGAAAATATTAATGTAATAATATGATATTTAATAGCATATTTATTTTTTATGCACCACATTTGTTTTTAAAACTATTGTAACGGAGAAGAAAAATGGAGAGAATAAATAAAGAGGATCTTATATTATGATAGAGATGAAAGTTAAAACTCGCGCAAACTAACACATATTAGTGTTAAATTTTATTAACAAATAATTTTATCACTCTTTATTGTACTCTTAATTTGATATCTGCGTAGAGGTGAAAGTTAGAACTCGTGCAAACTAACACATATTAGTGTTAAATTTTTTTAACTAAGAATTTTATCACTCTTTATTATATTTTTAATTTAAGTGATTAGTCTTCACTGTTGTATAAGAAGTTTGATTTTGGAAAAACCCGAGCATAACTTTTTTTGATTATTACTAAGAAATGAACGTTGTTAGATATGAAACACGGATACTTCAAATATTATTTGATACTGATATGACAACATCGATAATAATTTTAAAATATAATTAAAAATGTTCGATATCAACACGAATACACATTTTTAGAAGTGTTGGTTTTATATATTTCTTCTAATCACTATTATAAAAAAAACCTTAAATCTTAATTATTATTAGAAGTAAAAATTGTTAACTTTTGAATTAATTAATATTTATATTGTTAGGAAGATCCTAAAGTCCCACATTGGTTGGAGATAGAACATTGAAAGAGTTTATATAGAGTGACGCTCCTCACCTTTACAACCGGTTTTATAAGATGAAGTTAAGTCAAGCTCTAAGTTGGTATCAGAGCCTATCGATCAGACCATGGGTGTCCACCGTTAAATATCCACGCACCAAGCCCAAAAAGAAAAGAGTGTTGGGCGTGGGGGATGTTAGGCTCCTCACCTTTACAACTGGTTTTATAAGGTGAAGCTAAGTCAAACTCTAAGTTATATTATTTTTATATTTTTAATTTAATTTAAAAGTATTTAATATTAATAATTGATTTATCAAAAAATATAATTAAGAATATTATAATAAATTTAAGTTTAATTGTAATAAAATTAATTATATTGTGAAAGTATTTTTTTTTGCTTTATACACGTTGCTGACTGGGACGCCGGTGGTTAAAGTCTGTTTGTTGTTTTAGGCACGGCTCTTTATATAATTTGGTTTATTTGATGAAAATTTGCAATGTGAATTACTATAATGTCCTGTACTTGATAGTTTGAGAATAGTTCTTTGACCATTTGTGGACCACTTTGACCCTATCATCTTCTACAAGGGTATTTTTGGTGTTTCATGCTGTAATTCATTGTCATTTTCGATTTGTTTTAAGTACATGTTTGAGAAACATCCAAATCACTAAAGAAAATTGTGGTGAATTGTTTCATATTAAAGGTTGTAAGTATTTCAGTAAAACAAATGAAATTACGGTGTCACCAAAATTTCGTGGAAGTTTTAAATAGTTTTTTTGGTGCAAAATTATCGTAGTTATGTTAAAGTTACCGTAAGTTCATATAATGTGTAAATCTAAATTAGTGGCGGTGTTTATAGCTCAACGAAACAAATGAAGAAAAATATATCGATCATAATTTCTCAAATTACTGTAAAGATAAACTATCAAGAGATTGAGCATTGTTTTAATTCACTATTTAACATTACACATTATATATATATATATATATATATATATATATATATATATATATATATGAACAACTTTATTAACATAAAATAGAGTCATCGGTGTTAAAATATGAATAATTTTATTGATTTGTATTCTAACAAATTTTACATGAGAATTTGAAAAAGAATTACTTAAAACGCATTTACATTCCCTTAATGGGATCTAAGATTTGTGAAATTTGGATAATGACTATTTACATTATTCACTACTCATTTAGCATTAAGCTCAAAATCCACTTTATTGTAACCAAACTCATGAACTTATTTTAAGAAGCTAAAAGTCTGATAGTTTCTCCGTGAGTCATGTGTACCTCATTATATGCATTTCTTCTAAGAACTTTTTTACATTTACTTGTAAAGTTTATAAATTGTTAGAAATTATTATATGTTCTTCTTTGTTCATTGATTTCTTTTCCTTCTGATCATGAAGCACTTATTTCTTGAACAGGATTCCGGTGGATCATCTTTCTTAAAGTTATCTTGTAAAGATACTATTTCTTGAATTTTTCTTTTCCCTTGAATTTGAACTATCATATTTCTTGAATGTGATTCTATAAAGCTTACTAAATCATTCTTTTTTTTTTGTTCTTTCAAGCCTCCATGTTTATCTGATTTTAAGGAACATTACAAATCCTCAACCTTCATGACAGATAAATCATTTAATTTCTCAATTGGCACTACAATGTAATCACACTTAGAGGAGAGTGTGTGTATCCCTTTTACACGATGGTTTGACCATAATTTTTTTACCTCAGCTCTATATTTGATCAGTGATAGCCGTGATTATGTTGAAATACTCAAAAACCTTTTCGTTGTTCGTTATCTTGAACAACTTGAATTGTCTTTTAAATGTTTCTAAAGGAACTTTCTTTAGTTTTTCATCACTATTATTATTTTCTCAACAATGTCTCATACATATGCGATGTAGTTGCATTCGCTTTTTCATTATCACATCTTAAAACTCAAATATCATATTCATTTGCTTGATATATATATATATATATATATATATATATATATATATATATATATATATATATATATATATATATATATATATATATATATATATATATATATATATATATATATATATATATATATATATATATATATATATATATAAAAGCTAATAATGTTCGATTATCTTTATGTTTTCCTTTTTCAAAACTCCTAAATATATTGTGGAGGAGATTGTGAGTATTCAAAGAGATTTTTTATGAGGGAGTAGTGATGGTAAGAGGAAGATGTGTTGGGTAACTTGGGATAAGGTGGATTTTTCTAAAGAGGATGGTGGTTTAGGTGTTAAATGTGTGGTGAATTTTAACCTTTCTTTGATTAGTAAGTGGGGGTGGCGGTTTTTGTCGGATAATAAAGTTTTATGGTCTAATCTAATTAATTTTAGATACGAGAGTTGTTTGGTCAATTTTCTAGGGGGTTGTGTATCATAGTGTTAAGAAATCATCGCTTTAGTGGAAGGATGTGGTGGTGGCGTGCAATCTTAGGGCGGGGGAGGAGGCGTAGTTCCTAATAAGATTTCTTATAAATTAGGGAATGAGGAGGAGATTAATTTTTTGGGATCGTTGTTGGTTGGGTCTGAGACTTTTGAAGGAGCTTTTTTCTCTTGTGTATGAGGTTTGTGTTTCTCGTAGGAGTAAAGTGGGGGATTGGGTTTTTGGTTGGATGACTTTTGGTATTGGGAGTAGGGTTGGTTAATTCTCATCTTCCTGATATCATTATGGAGGAATGGTTAGTTTCGTTATCTATTATGCGGGATATTCATCCTAATATTGTGGAATTAGACAAACTGGTGTGGTGGAAGAATGTGGATGGCTTCTCGGTGAAGAATAGTTATAAACAACTTTTTGAACTTAAAGCTCATAATTTGGTGGTGGATGATAGGAGTCTTCCCAAGTTGGGAACGGTTTGAAAAGTGAAAGTTCTAGGTAAAGTCAAAAATTTTGGTTGGAGGTTATTATTGAATAGTCTTCTTACCAAATGAGAGCTTTGCTTACGATGTGTGTCTACTCTTTTGAAGAATAATTTTTGTTCTTTGTGTGCTTCTTTTGAAGAATGTTGTGGACATCTTTTTTTTTTCTTGCATTTTTTCTGGTTCGGTGTGGCAGGTGTGTTCCGTTGGTTGAGGGTGATTATGGTTGAGGCTTTTGAGGTTTTTGGTTTGGTGGAAGTATTTTTGCCGGTTGACTTTTTGTTGAAGTTTAAGGATAGTTTTTGTTGTTTCATTCATCCTTCCTTTTATCCTTTTCTTTGGTTGCTAGTTTGTTGGGGTTTGTGGTTATTTAAAAACCAAGTGGTGTTCAATGTCAAGGTTTTGAAGTGTGATGATGTTGTGTCTTTCATTAAAAATCTTGGTTGGGATTGGTTATTAATTCTTGACAAAGGGAGATTGGATTTTGTTAAGGAGGTTTGGTTTTCCACTCCTTTATTGTATGTTGCATTGTAGTGGTTGTGGGTTGGTTAGTCTTTTTTCCTCCTTGTTGTTGGGAGGTTGGGTGTCCTAGTGGCCTC